CAGATTTGAACCTCAAAGAGATGTGACTTTTGAGCAAGTAACTGAACCTATGCGAGGCTCATTTTCTCTATGTGAGGAGTAGAAATACTGTGTATTAAGTACTTGAATGTACTCAGTGGCTTGTAATAATTACAAGTCTTTTGACAACCTTTCTGCCTTACACTGCTTTAGGGATCAACTTCAGGATGAAGTTTCTTTTAGGGGAATAAAGAAGTCTTCCTAATTTGCAGCAGAGCCAAGTTTGGCATACCCAGGGAAATGGTGGTATAGTAATAATTGGAAACATTTGTGAGCATTGGCCACTATATAATTGAAAGCAAATATCCGTTGCTAAAGTATTGTCTCCTAGTAAATTGATTGATTTTAGATAGCATTTCACTAATTCTAAGTTTTGTTTTTTAAAAAATAACCTTCTGTTTCTGGGAATATGGAGGATTAGAAATGCCTACTGATACAGTTTGACTAAATGCACTAGATAATATATTACACACACATTTGTATGTATTATATATTAAAATATACATAAATATTAAAGCATATATAAATGTTTTTAATAAATACTTCAGCTGGTGGGAGAGCAAAGGAATTTTTCTGAGGCCAGGGTCAGTTAGTATCACCCATCCAGTGTGGTCTCTGCAAGTATCTGGCCGTTCCTGGTAGCCTAGAGCCTGAGCAGTGAATATGGGGCACAGGACGTAAAGAGTGAGTTTGGAAGAGAGTAGGAAGATACATAGGAAACACATGGATAATACGAGGACTCCCAGAGGGCAGCATCCTCCCAGTAGGGGCTATTAAAAAGAATTCTTAACCACAAGATCACAACTCACACTGGACTGCAGCCAGAATTCATATTATTTGGTTAAAAAAAGGAAGTCCTGAAGTTTAAAGTGGGTTGGTAGTGAACCCAAATCTCTGGAAAAACTCTCTCTAAATCACGACCTCTAAGATTTCCCACAGAGAAGAGTCCCAGATGCCTGAGCTCATATTCTAATATAAATGAACATATATAATACCCCAAGTGAGAGTAAATACAACAAATTACATAAACTCTCAAAGGTTGCAGGTATTAGAATTACCATATAGAATATAAAATAAATATATTTACTGTGTAGACTAAAACAAGAGGAGATGGAAAATATGTGGGATGAAGAGAATCAAAATTGACCAGACAGGCTTGAAAAAGAACTGAAGTGATCTATAAATGACACATATGTAGTAATTTAAAATTTAAAGAATAGAATATTGATTAAGTAGACTAGGCACAGTGAAACAGAGGACAAAATGAAAGACCTAAAGAGACCAAGATTAAAATACAGAAGAAAGGTTAAGAGACATGGAGGGGCAGAACAAAAGGTCTTATGGAGGATATGCGATATGCAGTATTCAAAGATACAATGGCTAAGAACTTTCCAAAATAGGTAAAGTATACAAATCTTCACTTATATGAAACCAATGAATACTCAACCAGATAAATACAAAGAAATCCCTACTAGATACATGATAGTAAAACTTCAGAATATTGGTGAGGGTGAGAGGAGTAAGCAGTTACAGAGAAAAGACAGATAACCCCCAAGGAATGGCAGACAGATGGCTTAAGTTTTAACAGCAAAAGTAGAAGCCAGAAAATGATGTAATGATAGCCTTGAAGTGATGAGAAAAAAAATCATCATCCTAGAATTTGTACTTGGGAAAACTGTCATTCAAGAATGAATGCGAAATAAGATATTTTCAAACTAAAAGAATACCTGGCTGGGTATGATGGCTCACGCCTGTAATCCCAGCACTTCAGGAGGCCGAGGCAGGAGGCTTGTTTCAGGCCAGGAGTTCAGAAGTTTGAGACCAGCATGGGCAACATAGCAAGCCCTGTCTCTGCACAAAAAATACAAAAAATTAGCCAGGTTTGGTGCCACATACCTGTAGTCCTAGCTACTTGGGAGACTGAGGCAGAGGAGGATCACTTGCGTCTAGGAGTTGGAGGTACAGCAAGCTATGATCACATCACTGCACTCCAGCCTGGACGATGGAGTGAGACCTTGTCTCAATTTAAAAAAATAATAACTAAAAGTATAACTTTTGTACTTTGTAACTTTGGAGAGTGGGGAGAAGAAGAAAGTTGGGTGATGGAGAAGAGCAGAGAGATGGATGATTTGCTGGGTTCTTTGTGATTTAACATCCTTATGATACCAAATTAAGACTTTAGAAGTTGATTGCTTCTGAGAACTGATAAAGGCTGGATTTGGTCATCTTCGCAATTTATAGGGCCCAACACGGATGTGGATGTTGGAGTACAGAGATGGAAGAATGCTGAATTGGGGTGGGAACTCACAGACACTGGGGGTAGGGAGATGGGGCAATGAATGCTCTTGAAGGGCATGATACAGAGTTCAGGCTGAATTTAATCAGCTATCCCAGAAGGGGGTTCTCAGGCTGACAAATGTGAGGAAAAAAACGCATCATAAATTTGTCATTTGGTATAGAATTCTATTCATAGTAAGTTATGTGGTCAAAACCAGTCTACTTGCCAATTGAAGCTTGCTAGTGTTTAGTAGACCATCCCCCATAGTTAATGAAAACAGTAGCATTTCAAAATACATTTTTATCTCTGCAGATTTTCTTTCTGAATAGATTTTCCTCAGATTTGATGGAAAGCTGGCTTAAATTGTTAGTGTACTGTCTCTACCTTCATCAGAGAGGCTATAATGAAGTGAGATGGTAGTCTAGGATTGGTTCAAGTCTAAGATTGGTTAAATCTAAGGGCAGGGTTCTTGGGTTAGGGCCAAAATGTAAACATTTCATTTGCGGTCACTATGATGAAAACTCCATTTGGACTATTCCTTGGGTTTTATTAAATTATTTACAAATACAAATATTTAGTTCATTTATAAATTATGGACATAATAAGATACCTTTAGGGGCTGTATCTCTCAGAGACTCCAATGAAGAGTTAGATTTGTATAGAATATGAATAATTTGAATTTATATTTTTCATGCTTTATTCTTTTAATTTTCTTTTTAATAGAAATGGAAGTCCATATTACTATGATGTGCTTGATAAGTTACTATGAGTAAAGACTTAGAAACTGAGATTGAATATAATTTTCGCTTTGTTTTTAATCCAAGTATGTCAAAGTCATAACCAGACTCCTTTGCTGATTCTATACAGAATAAAATCTATTTTTGTATTCATAATAAACTGAAAACATTTTGTTTTCAACTTATGAAATCACCCTATGGCTGATTCAGAGCTGTTTAAAACTATTATTAATAATATTAGTTTGTCATTTATGATTTTGTGGCACAATGTATAAGATTTAGTGAAACTTGCTTGGCTTTGAGAATATTTCTGTGATCATGGTTATATTGGCTCGATGGGCTTTGACAGTCCTTCAGAGTGGCTTTTATTAACTTGTAGGCTCTTCAATAAAACTTACTGAAACTAACTATAAAACATACAGAACTCTGTTCTAATTATTGAGTTTAAATTAAGAATTTTAGGCTGGGCATGGTGACTCACACCTATAGTCCTAGCACTTTGGGAGGCCTAGGCTAGAAGATTGCTTAAGCCCAGGATTTCATGACCAGCCTGGGCAACAGCAAGATCCCATCACTACTAAAACATCATCTGGGGATTGTGGTACATGCCTGTAATCCCATCTACTTGAGAGGCGAGGCAGGAGGATTGCTTGAGCCCTGGAGTTTGAGGCTTCAGTGAACTATAGTTGGGCCACTGCATTCCAGCCTGGGTGACAGAGCAAAACCCTGTCTCTAAAAACTAAAATAAGAATTTGTATTGATCCATCCTCTGGGGTCAAATAGTAAGGCTAACACGTGATTTATTTTTCTTGTTTTATATAGATTAAACCCAGAAAATTATTAGGTTTAATTTTATAATTCCTGGTTCGCACAGGAAGTTAGAAGATTCTCTTTCTTAGGAATGTATCTGATTACAAAAAAGATAATCAAAATTCTTGGTAGACACATCATCAGTATATACTTAAATAATTGTTATTTTCCCACCTACCATCAGTTACCAAACATATACACATAACTTTCTGGTATGAGTTTTAGGAGTCTTTTCTCTTCTCTGAATCCAGGGAACCAACATCTCCCTTAAATTCATTTTGAATAAGGCAGAGTACACTAAGTAAAATAGTTGACGGTCTGTCCCTCTTGTTTTTGTTGTTATTCTTCTGTAGCAAAAGCAGTCAGGAGATGCATTCTCATTTGCATGGGCATCTTTTCATAGCATACTTCTACTGTACCTAATTTACATGCCTTTTCTGCATCAATGGCCAATTCTATGTAAGCAGAACTTAGATCTTGAATGTTACTGAACTTGCTTTTTCTTTTTCAGAGTGCTGTAAAATTAAGTTTTGTGAGCATTCTCTTTTTTAGGTGGAAAGAAGATACTCAGATGTTTATAGAATATAACATTGAAAAAGGTGATTCATCTAGTGCAGTACTGCCAGTGCACAATTTTAAAATAAATATCAAACAAAAGCATTTAATGTATAAGGCAAGATGTGTACCCATTTGAAACACTAAAATATTAATATGGGTGGAAAAAAGTAATCCAACTTCTGGGTGTTCCAAAGGAGGTTATTACATTATTCAGGGCCTAACACTGCAAGTGGAAAAAAACCTTTAATCATGGTCACATAAATTTATATGTAGTGAAGTCAAGGTCATTTATGCCAGTTATGGCTTGTCAAGTATTACTCTTCCAACATCTATAGAAATGCTTGGCAAGTTTGTTCTCATGATTCATCCATCCTGAGAGTTTCGATAAAATGATACTGTCTAGAAATGGGACCTCATATCCTTCTTGGACTCTTTAATGTTTGTGTCCTAATTGTCCCCCTACCTTAACTCTTCTAATATCTAAAGGTGTGGAGAGAGGGAGCTATGTGTACCCTGAAGATAATGAGGTGATTTATGAAATAAAGAATATTCTCAGCCTCCAGGAGATAAAATTGACATTTCTCCTCCTTCTCTTCTAGGTTGTCCTTCTACTCAGGCCACTCTTCATTCTCCATGTACTGCATGCTGTTTGTAGCAGTAAGTACTCTGCGTCTGTTGATGGTTGGGTTATGTGCTATGTAGAATTAATATGTTCAGCATCAGTGTCGTCTCCTGTGCTGATAAATTAGCAAGTGGCAGAAGCCTAAACAGACAATCAGTAAGTCTGTAACTAATGGGCTAAGAATGAGTTAATGTGTGCCTGTACTTCGGGACTCTCTGAAGTGGTGTTCTGGAACACACAGACAGCTTCTGTACAATCACTGATCAGAAGGGCCAGGCCAAGGGGACTGCTGCTGCCTGCTAACTTCCTCCCTGACTGGGAGCTGCTCTCCTCATCTGCAGCTGGACACACGCAGCAGCTGGCTGGTCTGAACACACAGCAGAGCCGCTCTCCTCCTAGGCTCTGCTGTGGTAAGGAGTTGAGTTTCAACCATTGGAATTGAAGGCAGCTGTCCTTGCTCCTATTTGAGCAGGCTTTGTTTTTCATCCATTTTCTGAAACATTTCCCAGACTGTTTTGCAAAGGACCAGAAAGGTTTCAACTTCTAGGAGAGGCAGTTGCTGCTTCAGAAGCCTGTCATCTATACCAGCAGTCCCCAGCCTTTTTGGCACCAGAGACCAGTTTCATGGAAGACAATTTTTCCACAGACCTGGGAAAGGGGATGGTTTGGGGATGATTCAAGCACATTACATTTATTGTGCAGTCAAACCTCTCCGCTAATGATAATCTGTATTTGCAGCCGCTCCCCAGTGCTAGCATCACCACCTCAGATCATCAGGCATTAGGTTCTCATAAGGACTCTGACTCAGGCAGGCCAGAGGCAATATAGGTAACCTAAACATTTATACCCCCGTAATATTCTGAAATAAAAAATATATGTATTAAAAAAAAGATTCTCATAAGGAGTGTGCAACCTAGATCCCTCGCGTGCAGTTTACAGTAGGATTCACACTCCTGTGAGAAGCAGTGGGGAGGGCTATAAATACAGATAAAGCTTTACTAGCTTATCTGCCATTGCCTGCTGCTGTTTGGCCTGTTTCCTAACAGGCCATGACCTGTACTGGTCTGAGGGTTTGGGGACAGGGGTGGGGGTGAGGGTGGGAACCACAAGGGTGGTAGGGGGGTAGTGTTGGGGACCACAGATCTATACAACTTCCAGGTCCAATCTTAATGCTAACCTGTAGAGCAGCCCGTGGATTTGCATTTGCATGATACAGAGTTGCAGTGAGGAGTTACAAAAGATTTGTACCCACATTTTGCAAGTCAAACTAGAGATGTAATATATTGTGTTGTTTTAAATTTTTTTATTTTTATTTTTTATTTTTTGTGTGTGTTGCTCAGGCTAGAGTGCCGTGGCATCAGCCTAGCTCACAGCAACCTCAAACTCCTGGGCTCAAGCAATCCTTCTGTCTCGGCTTCCTGAGTAGCTGGGACTACAGGCATGTGCCACCATGCCCGGCTAATTTTTTCTATTAGTATATATATATATTTAGTTGGCCAATTAATTTCTTTCTATTTTTAGTAGAGACAGGGTCTCGTTCTTGTTCAGGCTGGTTTCGAACTCCTGACCTTGAGCGATCCACGCACCTCGGCCTCCCAGAGTGCTAGGATTATAGGCGTGAGCTACCGCACCTGGCCTAGTTTTTCTGAGAGTAACTAATGGAAGGCTTTAGGACACAAGCCAGGGATCTTTAAAGGTCATTTTTAATTGATTTTTATTTTTTATAATGTTCTTTCTCTCTATTTATATATAAAATATCATTTATAAAAAAAATATATATATATAGTATACATATAGCATTATCAACATTTTGGGGGAAAAGAGAAGAGGGGAGAAGTTCTCTACCCTAACAAACTAGCTGTCATTTTTGTGTCTTACTTTTCTTTATAAGTAGATTTTATTAAGTTGTGTATTATGTAAATTTGCAGTTTCCTGATTTTTTCCTTTGATCACATTAAGTGCTATATGAGGATTTAATGCTAAAATTAAAAATTCATGATATGTAATATTACGGATAGACTAATGATGTTATAGCCCAACTAGATTCATTGCTCACTGTTCTAGAGGAAGCCAGTACACTGAGACAGCAGTGGTTACAGCAGGGGAAGAATTAAATATCACAGGTGCCATGTGAGGAGATGGGAGAAAGTTCTCATATTCATCTCTCCAAGAATTTGGAAGAAAGGGTTTTTAAAGATAGTCTGGTGGGCAAAGGGCTAGACAGTTGGGTCTGTTGATCGGGTGGGTTCAGGGTGGAACCACAGAGTTGTAGAAATTGTCTTTTTTGCTGAGTTAGTTTTTGGGTGGGGGTCACAATATTACAGTTCTTGGGTGGGTCAGCCGTTCCACCAGACGGAATGCAAGGCCTGGAAGATCTCTCAAAAACTAGCCTTAGGTTTCACAATGGTGATATTATCTATGGGAGCAATGAAGAAGGCTAAGAATCCTTAGGACCATCAGCTTTGTGACCCCTAAATATAATAAGCAATTATAGGAAAGCAAGCTAGGGAACAATGGCTTGTTATATATATAATTCCCCTACCACAATTCCCACCTCGTGGCCAGTTATTAATTTTTAAAGGACGGTTTCAATGAAAGTTAGTTTGGTCTTAGAATTTAAAATAAATTTTATTAGAATCTTTTATTTGAAAAATCAAATTCTAAACATTAAAAGAATATAAAAATTATAGATGTGTTACATAAAATTCAAATCCACAACTTCAGACCATGACAACAGAGCCAATTTTCAAAGCTTTCTTCTTATGTTACTTTAATTTTGTGAGGAAGCATTGGGTTCTGATTCAGCAGAATTTAAGGCTTCCTTTTTAAGGCAAACATCTAAATGTTCTTGTCGTTAGATGTGGAAATGTGACTTATTTGAAGGTGCTTCACAGCAAATACTATTCTAACATTTCTGTTCAGTTATCTTATTAGGAAAAATCAGCATTCCTTCTAAAGGAAGCCAAATATATATATATATATATTTTTTTTTTTTTTTTTCTTTTTAAATAGAGTATGGGTACTGGGGCAGAGTGGAAAGGCCAGGCTGTGGCTCCAGCCATTAATATCCTGAGGCCTTTCCCCAAAGCATGAGCTTGTGACTATACCAAGTGGCTTTTCAATGTATGGAAAGGCTTTGTATGCCCTGGAGCTAGACCTCACCGGAAAATGAAGTTTATTGAGGAAGGACCAGATAGATTTACAGAGCAACACGCCTGTAATCCTAGCACTTTGGGGCAGATGGCTTGAGGTCAGGAGTTTGAAACCAGCCTGAGCAAGAGCAAGACCCCCGACCCCGTCTCTACTATAAATAGAAAGAAATTAATTGGCCAACTAATATATATAGAAAAAATTAGCCGGGCATGGTGGCACATGCCTGTAGTCCCAGCTACTTGGGAGGCTGAGGTAGTAGGATTGCTTGAGCCCAGGAGTTTGAGGTTGCTGTGAGCTAGGCTGACACCATGGCAGTCACTCTAGCCTGAGCAACAAAGCGAGACTCTGTCTCAAAAAAAAAAAAAAAAGATTTACAGAGCAAGATACAGGTTTACAGAGTAAGAACAAGGTATGTCTGCTCCAAATGAACAGGCCCCACTGTCGTAACAAGAGGGCCCCAGGACATAGGGCAGCTTTTTTGATTTGTAATTCACTCACCTGTGTGTGTCAGTGTCTAAGTCCTTCTTTATGAGAGATCTAGGAATCTGAGTTTTGGTGAATGTTGATTTGCATTTTAAAATACTTCTTTGAAGCTTTCAAATGATCCCCATGAAATAAGAGATAAGGGATGAGTGCCTTGGGAGGGGCTGCTGTGGTCTGTGAGGGGGTCTCCGGTAATCAGGCTCCCTTGCTTTTTGGTCGATGACATCGTCTGAACCCTAGTCCATTTGTTTTGAAAGAGGTCAGGTGACACAGATAGCTGGAAGTAAAATGGCAGTCAGGAAGTGACTGACAGGTAACTCTGGCCCACTGTTTTTAATTTTAAAGAAAATTCTCGGACATATCATATTCCATATTTTATCATTTTCTGTTCTTTTTCCTTGACCCTTCTTGAAACATCTGTTACAGCTATATATTCATGTCAAATGGAGACTTGTGCTGAGGGCTCTTTTGTGAAATATGAAATTAGAGAAGATGAAGTTAGTGTATAGAGGGCCTCATTAGCAGGCCTGCTCTGTGGACATGCAGGAACGCAGGAGGAGGAGGCAAGTTAGAGGCACAAGTTCAGGGAAAATTACCTCAACTATATAGTTTGGTAATTGGGTCGGTAAGAGCCATTTAGATATAAAGTTATAATGATAAAAAAAGAGTTTCAGATAAATAGGTTTGTTGTAGACCAAGGCCTTCTGGAGAAGGAAGCAGGTCAAAGCAACTATGCACTGCATTTCACTGACTCTAGACAGTGGAAATATTTGCTTGATGTGGATGTAGGCCCAGCTTTGATTTCAGCCCTGAATACACAGATGTCTCCTTGCTTTCCAGCTTGCACATTTATGTTCAACATTTAACCTCCGCCTCCCCACCCCCAAATTCCTTAGGCAGTGACTCATCTTGTTTCCCTGGGCATCTTGGCATCATGGGTCAGTCCCAGATTTGGGTGGAGAAACAGTCATTTAAATCCTCTCTGAGGATAGTCTTTGATAGCCAAAATTTCCCTGTCAATTCCTTACACCAAGACATTAACTTCTAGTTAAAAATGTCTCTTAAAGAAAATGCCCTGACTCTTGTTCTCCTCTGGCAGGCAGCCCTGGCCTGTGGTGCCAAGAGAGTCGGCATCAGCGAAAGCCTCTTAGGCTGGTGGGAACCCAGGGTGGGACTGCTTTGCGCATAGCCAGTTTATGTGCTCAGCAATCCCCTTGAACTTGGCCAAATGCCAAAGATTCCAAATTTATTTGATTATTCAGGAGAGCGGCCATGGTACGATACTGTCTTTTTTTCAATACAGTGAGGAATGTAATATAACACTTTTCTGGAGATCATTCTATTGAGGCTGAAACCCCAGATTGTTTATATTACTGCCTGTTCTGAAATTCCTCTCACT